GTTAACTGCGCCAACCCGCCGGCGCCGTTAAAGAGTGAGGGGTCTCGCCGCACACGAATGGAGGGAAAAAGTATTTGGGAGGGAACTTGCGGACACTAACGCGCTCACCATCGGTTCTAAGCAAACAAACCTCGGCGCCCCGGGACACCTCGCCAGTGAGTCCTTTGACTTCCCTCCTTGATGCGCGTCTGGTATTTGTTAGACAAAAACAACGTACCGCTCGAGTTATTTCGTCTGCCCTCCATTAAAGGCGAAGTCGAGTTCGCTCCGAAAGTCGCAGGAAAGGTAAGACAGACGCAGACGACGTTGCGAGCAGACGACGTTGCAAAGGAGCAGACGACGCTCAGAGAGGGGGTCGCGATAAGCCAATCAGGACTCGGCGTTCTGACGTCACCACTACTTCCTTTCTCATGCGCAGAAGACAAAAATGAGCCTACTTGCGAGGCGTATACACTTTAATCAGTTTGGACAGCTCAGGAAAGCGGCGATAACTACAGAATTGCCCCACCGAAATTAATTTTCAGCTAACTTGTATGTCTCGAACATGCGACTTATCTGTCCGCGAAATCGAGCTTTTGTGCGCCGTCTGCTCGGCCAACAACAAAGGCTGCACTAAAATTACGAAAATTAAGCAAGCGCTTCTTGAGCCAAGGAGCATGTTAACCGGCTGACGTGCCACTTAGCAGCTGATACTCGTATTTCAATTCCGAGAAGTCATTTCGGCGAATATCCTGGTTGTGTATTATATTACGCTATGTCCCACCCACTAAAGCGATATTTTATATTCTTCGGGTTGAAATATGAGCTTATTTGACTAGCTATTAGGTGAACTGCTGAATAAAAGTATATTTGACAGACAGAGATACACTGCTTAAACTCAGCCAAATGATTCTAGCCGGCAGCACGGAAACAAATGCGGACAAACTGGAGAAAGTCTTCGGCGGAGATTTATGCAGAACCCCTCTGCATTGAACTCCACTTCAAATCCTCAACGGAGAAAATTTGTATTTTTTTGTGGCCGGACATTCTGAGCAATGTAGACGCATATTGCTGCTGGCTTCGACGGGGGTAAAATATAAATATTAGAGGCGCGATAGATCATAATTGCGTGACAGCTTCTAACTTCGCGAGACGCTTCCGCCACCCTTTTTCAGACAATTTGCCTCATTAATCGTATGCAGCGAGCAGGTTTTCCGGATTCAAGTACTTGCGAAATCAGCCCAACTCCTCCGGTGTGGTCCAGAGGCTTTTCCGGCGAAAAGCAGCCAAGATGAATAGCAAACGCACCGACCGGCGTGGGTGGCTCAATGTTCAAGCTAAACGAACACAACCAAAAGTCAAGAAAAATAGCTATCGAACATTCCCATTCACTTGACTGCAACACTGGTGTTTCCTCCAGTGAAACACCTCGTCTGTCGTCCTCAGTCCACTGTTCTACATCCTTTTCAAGGAACCACTCATCATTTACCAAGTAGCCGTCACTTTGAATGTGATTCGAGACACACAAGAAATCAAAACCTTTTTACGTGATTCCTCCCCATCCAAGAAATCGAAAGCATGCACGCGTGTGTCATGAAGTAAACGGCCTTTCAAACACGTGATGGAAGGAAACAATCTACTGAGGCTTCACCACACTAATGAACACCCAGGCAAACTTACATATTCGGACCTTCGTCAAATTACATTGTTCGCCACCACGCCAACAATATGTGTCCGCGAAAGCCGCCAGAGACGCGGAGAGGCGCAAAGCGACCTGTTCCGGCTGGTTCCCGGTTTTCCTGCTTGGTGGTATCCGTTTTGCTGGAGTCGCGACAGATAATGCACTCTCTTTGTCCCATGGAAATGCATTACCGGAAGTCAATTTCCGACTGGTTGCTGTCTGCTTCATACTTAGGTAGTAATTCAATTACAGTAATTAAATTACTCAAGTTTAATTACTTCATTTGTAATTTGCAATGTTAATTACTTTCGGCTAAACGGAATTGTAATTTAAATAATTTCTAGCGTCACTAATTGAAAAATTTCAGGCACCATTACAATAACGTTTGCAAGACTTTGCGGTACCGACGGAATCTCTCTGAAAGCCTCAGCGCTCGCTCAAGCGGCCTACTGCTCGGTGACACACTCGTACACATAGACACGCACTTACACGCGCGCACAACAGAAATAGCGTCGTGTTGTTATTTGATTTGTTGCTTGCACCGCGGGTTGAGAGAATCCTCCTTGGAGCCTATCTCAACAGCGCCGTGTGGCGCCGTCTGCGTGTTTTGCTGCTTACACTGCGGGCTGAGAGAATTCTCTTTGGAGTCTACCTCAACGGAGAGCAAGTTCGTCTGCTTCTCCACAGGTATTGCGATGACGTCCGACCGAAGCAGACTTCTGATTATCTTTGATTGGAAGGATAGTGGGTAGATCTCAATGCTAGATGCCTCGAGGAGTACCCCCCACTATTTTCTTCAATAAACCAATAAGAGCTCAGCGTTCTGACATCATCGCAACCCCTGTGCAAGAGGCAGACGAACTTGCGCTGCGCATAGCGTAAGTGTTTGAAAGAAACAAAATTGAGGTTCAGCTTTCAGCCGAGGTTGAGGATTTAAATTGCCTATGAAGTTAGTTTTTTGTTGTTTTTGTTTCGCCATTTTTTTACTTTTTTTTCATTTTTTATTTGTATTATTTGTATGTGTATTTCCTGTTCGTTTTACTTCGGATATTATTTGCATAAGCATTTTGGAGACTTACCTTGCACTTGCGAATATTGTCATCATTGATTCGGGAGCCCCAATTCGGTTCTTACATATTTTTGAGCCATTGTAATTTCATCTCAATGTAAATAATTTACGAAAACAAAGCGTCTGTGTGCGAATGTGGTCGTACTAGTGCGTGTGGGTTATAGTTTTATATTAACACTATTAAAATATTCAGAAATGACTAATTATCACATTTTTATTTGCCTGGTTAACAAAAGTTTGTCAACCAATTTTATTTTAGCGATCTGGAGTCTTCGAGTATATGAACTAATTTATTATTATTTGTAAAAAAAATTAAGAACGTAGGATATCACTACCCCAAACTGTCAAGTTCTATCATTAACAAAATTCACCAAAGAAATGTACAATTCGTGACATTTATACGGCGATGCTTAAGCCTCCTCAAACATTGGGGCAAGGAATGAACATATGTGTTGCATTCTTAACATGTCGTTTGAAGTTATATGGCCCAAGATGGTCGCTCTCAGAAGTAATTGTAAATTGCATTACTTTTTAAAGTAATTTATAATTGTAACGAATTGCTTTTCACGTAGTAGTTGTAATTGTAGTTAAACTACTTATGGAGCAAAGTAATTGTGATTAAATTACATTTTGGAAGTAATTTACCATGTATGGTCTGCTTCAATTTGCCGCGGCTCACTAGCGCCAGTTGAACCTCTAGCCTAGCGTGCATTATAACTATGGTTTGCACTTGAAGTTCACGTCACTTGCAGAAGAAATTGACCGGTATTGCACTGCGTCCAGAGGCGCTAAGTTGACAATGCGATTAGTAATATAAAAAGACGGTACTTCATTTTATCGTTCTTTCGCTATTTGGTCGCCATTTTAGCGCCTACAACGTCAATGCCAAACGTCAATAAAGGGGCGATAAAGTGTCGGTCAGATGTCAGTAGAAGGGCGACAGCCATTTTTATAGGGGCTCGCGTATACATAAAAATATACGAGAACACAAACGAAACACTAGTGAATGGAAGAGCCGAGAGCAAGAAGAGAGTATTTCTCGAGGATGTGATTTGGAGGAAACGGTCCTCTTCAGTTGAACCTCCAAGAAAAAGGCCTAGTTCGCTGGCATTTTTGAAGACACGGAAAAAATGCTGCGCTTACAAGGCGCAATAATTTTCTAGACAGACCTAGCTTTGTGGAGAAGAAAAGCGTCCAGTTTATTGTTGAATATATATGGCAATACACTCACTCATGCCACAGTTTTGTGAAACAGAAATATAACTCTTGTGATTATAATCATCTCTATCAAGTATATCTACAAAAAACTCTATATGTACACACAATATTTTAAAATGAAATGTTTTCTGACAGTACAGAACCATATTCATACAATCAATAATGCAGTGCACGAAACATCACTCGTCTGTTGTAACAGCATGTTTCATAAGTGTTTTTACTATTTACAGTGTAAATTGTTTCCCAATTGGAAATTTTCAGACAAAGGAAGAACTCTTAGAAAATATTGTTCCTTATTTAGTTGGAATATACTGCAAACTGGTATACTTATAATTTTTGACACAAATATGATTGTGCAGGAATTGAGTAGAGGATAAACTCATTGTTCATAAGTTAATAAGATTAGTTGAATGGGGATCTCATATGTGACATGTCCAACTGGTACTATCAGCAAATAGCTGGAATGTTATTTGAAGGTCTTCTACAAGACCAGGAGCAACTACACATTGCTTTTAATACTGTCAGAATTTAAAATTGAATTTATATCATTGCTGTGTCTCCATCAAATTATGCATTTTAATAAACTACATAACTGGAAAGCACCAATTATAACATTACATAATACATTATAACATTAAATATTGAAAGAGAAGCCTGAGCACAGCATTTTGGTAACATGACTAAGCTATTTAATTTGAAAAGTTTACCCTAAATCCTTCATTTAATTAAAATTTAGTAAATACAATAAATTTTTGCTAGGTTTTGATTAGGAAAATATAGATAAAAAGGACAAAACACCTTTATAAGAGTTAAATACATGAGTATGATTTCCTAATAAAATCAATGTTTTAAACATTATGCCAATTTAAAATTAACAATGCTCAAGACATGAAGGTTCCTCAGCTGTGATGAGCACACAAAAACACCAGAACATGGAGAATTAAGCTTTTAACATATTTTAACGGCTGTAAGTTGTCATGAACAAATCACATGCATTATCATGCTGATAATAATTTAATCAGTATGGCACTATAGAAACACCCAATCTGCAAGTGAATATAAATATTGAAGTTTATTAAGCTTCAATTACCACAAGATTTTTGCTGACCTCGACAACTGCAAACCGACATATGCACTTGTAAAAAGCTAAATCACTCACAATCTACAAAGGCAAAAAGAACAAAAAAGAAAAAACAAACTAACCATTGCAATTACTAATTATACTAACTCAGCACAACCGATACAGCAATCCATGCAGTCACATCAAATGTAATCTCACCGGAATGACCTGCTGTAAGAAAAATGCAAGATCAATAAACAACAACTGCAAAGCAACCATCACATTTTTTTTGTATTTTTTTGTTGTTTTTGGTGATGATCAATGATAATGACTGATGGTAACTTCGTATCTTATTCAAGTCAGATTTCTCTGGTTTATACAATTGCTTCATCACTTGCTTTGGTATAAAGTATTATCTCTAGTCTTTACATGATGGTGAGGAAATCAATCATAGTTAAAACATTTGAATTAGAAAAACTATGTCAACTGATCCATTAATAAAACAATAATTCATTCAGCACTATTTAATTAAAAAACAACATACATCTATGCTAATTCAGCCTGAATGTCTGGCACTTACCAACTAAGATTAGCATTGGTAGAAGTATATGCTAGTAGCTTAATGTGGCAGTAACATTTTAGACACACTTGCAGCACAAAGGGTTGACATGATCACCCATAATTACATTCCAAGGAACAACCGCACAGCAGAAAGGTCTCTTGAAAACTGCAACAGCGTGTCAGTCAACAACTTTATGTCAAAATGCAAGTTCTTTTTTTTATTCTAATCTTTGTAACCTATTGGAATGCACCAGATCCTACAATTAAACACGGATGAAAAAGCCATTTTACGAGAGACAAGATTTCTGGGATAAGTCTGATACTGTCACAAAACTGGCTTGCCATTTTTGAAGCACTGTCAAAGAAATGTAAGCTGAAAACAGCCACATTAATGTTGAAAGTACTCCATATCTTTTATTTTGTTGCATCACAATTCTTTGCTTGAAAAAAAAAACAAAAAAAACTGCTACATAAGACCTGGACACTATCCAGGAACATGCAGTAGAAATACATGTTAGGAACAATCATGAAAATTATAGATCATATTAGGCTGTTAAGTCATTAATAGAGCTTTTGGGAAAAGATTGAAACAAATGCAGATAATGTTCTCTGCATTTTTTTTTTCTGGTTGCAGGTGTCATTGAGAAATGCTAAATAACATGTCGCTTCACTTTCTCCTGGGAAATAAATTAAATAACAACAAATCTGCAATGAAGTTGACAAATATATACCCTTTTTTTTTGCATTCATAAATTTCCAAGTATAGTTGATGTTAGCTTGTTCTTGCATTTTGGTAACAAGCATTAATACATACATATTTAATTATTTTAATAATACAGACATTAATTAATTAATGTCTCAGTTGCAGAAGGAATGGTGTCCCAATTATATTCTGGAATTTGATTGGAAAATCTCGTCTCAAAACAAGGTAAAATAGCTTTTTTCTAAATAAAAGGAGAAAATAATTCTTCAGTTTTTCACTTTACTTTTATATTCTTGTAACTGAAGCCGTGAACAACGAATGTTAGCAGTGATGATGAAATATAAACCAGAAAATCTAACATGTGTCAATGTCTGACACAGAGGACTTCTCACATTCATAGTGCTTGTGCTAGGCTGGGAGAGAGCCAGTGATGTTATGGCACATACTTGTAATACAGTTGAGTAGGACAACTGGTCATTTAGTTTGAAAGTCTTGCATGGTGTCAGCATCATATCCTTAGTTCTTAGAAAAGGATAGTCACCTATCTTGTAACTGCGCAAGGATCTTGCACATAACAGAGTGCTCTTTGGTGTTTTTCGTCCCATATTTGTTGTGTTTTTGAGTGCAGAGAACTTACAAAGTACTGTAGCGTGGGATGCTGCGAGTAATGCTTCAGATAAAATAAATAAAGGCATTCGAGGGAATAATGTTACTTGAAAAGAAAAAGGTACATATTATGTAAATTTAGACCCAGTTCTTAAATTTGCAACACACTAGTCACAATGAAATACTCTTTGAGGAGATAATCTCATAGTGTTATGAAAATGTCCTCATTCAATGCCAGTTGGGAAGTCACCACTGTGGAAAATGGCAAAGTCAATACAGCTCTAAACCTGCCAACCATCAAAATTTTGCGTGGCAGTACACCGAGTAGTGTGTTCATAAATACAGGAATAAAACTGCTATGTACATAGGGGGTTGATACGTGACACGGCAATAAATATTCTTTTTGTACGTGCACTTCTACAAGTAATACATATACATATATACCAGGAGGAGGATGCTACACATTACCATAGATACACGGAAGTCTTGAAAGTAAGGATGTTTCGACGCCGTTTTGCGGACAGGAATGTGTGTGTGTGTGTGTGTGTCTGTATCTTGAGACTGGGATGGTTGCTGCTGTTACTTGCACTGCATCTGCTCAGAGGTGCACTGCCAGGTTGAGCCTGCTGTCCACTGAAATGCCACACACTTGATCCATGGTGTCGGTAGAACTTGACTGATTGCCGAGGGAGCTGCAGCGAGAAATAAGCCGTTTACCACCATAAGCCATTTCAATTCTGTTACGCTATCAGTACGACACATGGACAACCCAAGACAACTTCACACTTGGTGGTGGACTGCTCCATCGACCTTCTGAAGTTGTGCTTTATTAATGCGAAAGCATTAAAGGGACACTGACACCTCCCAAAAAGTTTTATTTATTTCTTGCCAGGCGATCATCATTGTGTCAGAAGGACTACCCAATGAATTTTTTGCTGCAAAATCACGTATCTTTTTAAGAGAGTCAGAAAACGCAACTTCCCGAAACCGAAACCGAACTGGGCAGGAAGAAGAAATATAGAGGAGGAGAAAGTTATCAAAAGTCACGTGGATGTGCTACTTTTTTTTTTCTTTTTTTCAATCAACAACTTTGCAGCTTTTTAGAACCCACAAAAAATGAGTATCCCATTTTTTTTGTCTAATTCTAGCATTGAGTGTGTGCCTTCGATGACCCAAGACTTTGATTATCTTTGGTGGTTGTGTCTAAACCATAGAAAACGGCACGTGAGCACGAAGAAGAGAGGGAGCGCGACTCAAACCGGCCAGTTCTTGATCAGCAGTTTTCGGGCGGAAAGAAAATGAATTTTGAACCGCAAATTGTGTTCTGGGTAGTTGGGCTCTCATATGTCATGAATAAAAACCTTGGCAAGCATAAATACCTTGTCAGTGTCCCTTTAGGTGTCCGATGGAATGAACCGACGTCATCAGTTATTGAAGCCGTGCCAAACGGCACCTTCCCCTGTCCCAACAGAGCGAAGCCTGCCATCTGTGGCAGAAATCTGATGGATAGACTCCCATTGGCTGGTACGCATCATAGTTTCAAGCAACGAGGCTCCTATTGGCTTTTTGCGGCATAGTTGCAAGGAACGCGACCAGAGAAGAGTCTCCACGGCGGTGCAGCGCACTCAGTGGCCTGGCCGCCAGTGGGAGGTGCGGGCCTGGCCACAGAGTGCACACGGGAAAACTCCGGAGAGGCGGCAAGGCGGAGCTCAGCACGATGCGGCCACTTCACAAGAGCGCGCGCCTGGCCGTTGGCCGCTACCCCCGCAGTAGCGAAATGTTACTGTCCACGCCAGTACGCTGCAGACGAACTAAGGGTGCGGAAAAACAATGTTCATGCTTTCACATTCATAACTCATAAGAAGTGCTTAGGTGTCCTTGGAATTTTTTTTTTGCTAGAACAGCTGAAATCTTTTGTAGATCTTAAAAAGTAACACTGTGTTTGGCGTTAGATCGCAAATAAACTGCACTGCTACAACACCAGTGCATTATGGTGATGGCAGTAGTGCAACATTATGTATACTTAAATGACATTTAGAGAGAGGTCCTTCACTCACCTCCTCGTAGAAACACACTCCGATGTCGGGAAACCCAACAAGCCTGATCCAATCTCTTCCTTCATTTTTAAGATGGTCCTCCGTTGTTCAAGGTTGGAAGTGGGGGCAAGCCGAAAGGCCTCTTCGATGTTCTTCTGAGCCTCTGCTTGACATCTGCATTTTCGAAGTACACCATAGTTTTACATTTCATTACGGCTTCACATGCCAACTTTGGGTGGCAAAACTAGCCCTCTTTAGAATAATAATAATATACTTTATTTTCTGGTAGTGTCCAAAAACGGCCACGAAGGCCTACTTATTGGTACACTATAAACAAAATCACAATCACATTAAAGATGCATTTCTCTGTTGAGGCACAAATAAATCAATACTAACTACAAAATTAACAAACATAATACACGCATATACCAAGACACTACAGATAACACAAAGTGCTAATATCAAAATACAATGCTAGAAACGCAAACAAAATTTCACACTCTATAAATGCTTCACCATTTTTAAAAACGTATCTGCATAGATGTCAAGATCAGGAGAAGAAAGCTCGTTACAAAGGTGCTGGATCCCAGACATTGGCGAGGCATGGTATGGTGTATTTAAGTAAAATTGCAAAAGAAATCTACGAGTGCGAATAGGTACAAGAAAGTTCACAGATGATAAGAGTGAAATACTATCAATTCTACCACAGATGACTTTGTGCAAGAATGACAAATCACGAATGGTACGCCGTTTACTTAGCTCTCGTAAGTTAAGATATTTAAGTAGTGTTTCGTAACTATAATAACGACGACGATGAAAGTATCGATCGTATGCAATTCGAACCAGACGCTCCTGAACTTTTTCAATTTCGTTGCAGCGATTCACCGAAAAGGAGTTCCACACTACGGAACTGAATTCAAGTCTTGGTCGAATCAAGGAACAAAACAAATGGACCAAACATCTGCAACTCGAAAATTCCCACCTCATACGTGAAATCAACCCCAGTACACGCATGGAAGTACCCATTATTGAAGTGACATGTTCTTTGAATGAAAGGCAGCTATCAACAATAACGCCGAGGTCACGCATGGTGGTCACACGCTGAATCATTGTCGCATTCGGTAGCGTATATTGAAAAACAATCGGGTCACGCTTTCTGGACAAAGAAATAACTTTTGTTTTTTGTGTGTTAAGGAACAATAGATTAGATGAGCACCACACTGACACACGATCAATATCCTGTTTTAGTAATAAACACTCGTCTAAGCCACGCACCGAGAAATAAAGTTTGATGTCGTCTGCGAACAGTAGAATCTTAGCATTCTTGACAACAGAAACAATATCATTTATAGACATTAGAAAAAAGAGAGGGCCCAAGTTTGAGCCCTGTGGAACGCCTGACGTTGAAATGAAATGATCCGATAAAATATTCGAAATTCGAACCGCGTTTGTACGCGAAGAAAGGTATGATTCAAACCAAGCAAGATACAAAGGACATAAACCATACAACCGCAGTTTCGACAACAGCAAAACATGATTCACCGTGTCGAATGCCTTCGACATATCAAAGTACACAGTATCAACTTGCCCCTGGCCGAAAACGACTGGAGACGAGTAATTGAAAAATGTGCATAGGTTAGTCTCAACTGATCTCCCCTGAAGGAATCCATGCTGCGCAGGATTGATTTTTTGGTGGAAATAAAAAGAAAGTCGCTTTTGCACAACAATTCCAAAAACCTTCGAAAACCCACACAGTAGAGACACAAGCCTGTAATTGTTGCAAGGCAAGAATGGACAAATTAAGAAAGATACACAATCATGAATGCTTTCTTTGGATTTTTGATGTCATTAGCTAGAGGCTTAGCTCGTTAAATGTGATTTATGAACATAAACAGCCTTAAATATCTGGCTTTAAATTTATTTTAGTATGGTTGGCACTGGGCAAAGGTGCTTACTTACCCTTTGTCTTTGTATGCCTTTGCCCTGACAAAGTGTCCCTCAAAACTCTTGGGTCTGAGTTCGATTGCCTGGCTTGCTGCTGAGATGGCCGCATCAGGCTCCTAGAAAAAGAGTGTGATGAGATGTATAAAACAAGGTGACTTACATTAAAAACATTAAAGAGAATGCCTCAACGTTCCCTATGACTATGATTCTATAAAATCCAAGAAAGCAGGACAAATACAAAAAACGCTTTGCTACAATGTTAATCAATACGAAAACTCAGATTTTCGAGGTCATAATAAGCTTGGTCAGGGTGCAGGGCAACTGCTCTTGAGAATAGCTCATTCCAGTTTCTTTTTAGATCCCGGACAATTGATGAGAGGGGCGTTTATTTCGTAAACGTCCATTAAGGAAAGGGGTTATTGTATTTCTAATTTCATGCCTGACATCATTGGTGTTTTCCAACCGAATTCCTTTTAATTGTCTTCAGGATCATGCAATTTCTTTTTCCACTTTCTACTACTTATTGCTCAGGTGGGACAAAGTCCTCAAGTTTGTGAGCTGTATTCCTGAAGATCACTCTTTGCACTGCACAAAATATAGCTTCTCTTTTTAGCCTAGGCCTGATTATATAGCTTGAAGCTGTTAGTGATGTGCTGGAACTGCACATGGTAAAACCCATTTAAACAAACGTCGGTTTAACAAATATTTCAGAATAATGAACTTTAAGAAAAAATCCCCGGCGGTTTTCCTAGGCATTCTATGCAAAAAATGTTTCAGTTAAACGAAAAAAAATTTTGGAATAGCTAATATTTCAATTCAATGAAAAATCAAATTTTGTAAAAACGAATTTTGGAATAGCAAATATTTCAGTTTAACAAACATGATCGGTGTACCCAGGATTATCTTTCCAATTAGTTCAACAAAGTTTTGTGCTCTGCAGTGCTCCGCGTAGCCAATGCCCATCGCCCCGCTGCTCGTTGGTGTTTACAGCGCCACCGAGGCAAAGTGGCGATGCAGTAGACGAAAACGAACCATTGGTGGGTCTGTTTTTTCTTTGTCATCAGTTCCGTTCGGCCATATTAGCGCATGACGGCAGTTTGTGCGCCCACTTTCGTAATGAGAACGACAAAACGGAAGCTGTTGTCTTTATCAGATAAGCTCAAAATCCTTCGGCGTCTGGACAACGGTCAAAGGCAAGTGGACGTTGCGAAGGACTATGGGATTCCATTGCCGACGTTGTCAACGATAATGAAGCAAAAGTCGAAGCTTGAAGGAGAGCTGCGTTCAAGCCCAACAGGAAACGACTCTGCACGGGGTATTTTAAGCCAGTGGACGATGCCGTTGCGGTATGGCGTCGTCACAGCACGGGGTCCTCCAAAATCTCCCCCAGAGGAAGTGCAAAAGAACATAGACTCTCTGGACAGTTTTGCTACTTCATGCGCTTTGAAAGCACCGGTGCAAATGAAAATTATTGATTGTTTTTCAAAATGAGAAAGATAGCAACGTAACTGTTATGCACTTTGTATATATTGATATACATGACTCCATAAATTGCATTTCACACTTCTGACTCAATGTATGATGTGCCCTAAGCTGTTCGATATTCTAGTGAATATATTTAGTTTAGTGAACTTGCAGTGAAGTGAACTTCAAGCTCCTTGGGTACCTTGAAGTTTGCTCAAGTGAGAATTAACAGTAAATAGAAACTATCACCACAGTGCAGTTCCTATCCTGGTCTTAACATGCACTAAATGGGAATGCTTTGCAATGGCCTGCTGGGACTCATACTATGAAGTAAACATAGACCATACATTTAGTTTCCGCTTGCACTTGGCAAGTCCGAGAAGTAGCTGGTGCTTCAGTTGGAGAAAATTGCTTCCACAGTCGTCATCCTCAGCTACAGATGTTGGGAACTTCTTTAGGGCATACTGATAACGATGAGCAGCATCCTTTATGTGGCCTTTCTGCAAGCAGAATTGAAATTATTTTTAGACAGGCGCAACAGGGAGGTGTTTTTGGTGAAATATTGCTAAAATGGAATGTTACAAAAAGTCTTACAGTCACAAACAACGTTTTACAATACCCAAAAAAGAAATTCCCAGTACTGTGGTGATAACCCTTCATATTATAAGAGAAAACTGCAAGCTTGATACTGATGCATTTATGAATTTCAGGAGATACAGTTGCTTTTTCTAACTTTTCTATGTCATTGACATAGAGCTAACTCAACACAGAGTAAGTGGAATTAGAACTTAAATTCAATCATCTCATCTTGTTAGTCTAGTCCTGCAATATTAAAATAAGGGTTCCATAAACTTCTTAAGGTGAGAGTTTGAAAAGGTTAAACAATTACCGTAAACATGTTAAAGGGCCAATGAAAAGAAAAATATTGTTTATTTTTAAACAGTCTGGTTGGGACATGCATGTCAAAAAATTGATTTACATGAAAAAAGAAAACATTTTTAGAGCAATATTGATGGCGCGAGATTTATTTTAGTTGCGTCTGAATGATGCACGCAAAGTCCATGACATCATGGAATGGTCATACACTCTTTCCACCTTAACAACATGGTCACACACTCTCTCCACCTCAACGTGATGGCCACAGCTTCTCTCCTCCATGAACCCGGAAAGTGGAAAAAAGGTAATTACCAACAAAATTGTGTCTCGTGTCCTCACTATTGCTTTAAAATTTATTTTTTTTTGGCACAAGTCTTTCAGAAAAACTTTAAAAAACAATTTTTTTTAAATTTTCAGAGGCCCTTTAGAGATCAGGATTTGAGCAGTTAAAAAAAAAAAAAAAAAAAAAGCAAACTTTTGAGTTTGAATTTGCACAGTTTCAAAGTTCGAGAAATGCACCTTCATACAAATTCAAATTCAAGTTGGGAACTTTGTAGACGACAGCTCTGGGTATACACATTAAAGCCCCAAGTGCAAAAGCGAGAGGGGATCAGTGGCCAAAAGTGTTAATGCACCACAGCTCAAAGTATGTAGAGTGAAAGCTCATGCTGCAGTACCCTGGGTTCTTTTCTGGGTTTGATTATCACAGGTGCCCATTTTGATCTGAATAAGCATTTTACTGGTCTGCAGTCCTGTGAACAGAACTGCACAATGCAAACTGAAGACCCCACATTCACAGTCATTCTGCACTACTTAAATTGCTCGTCTAGAGCAGTGGTTCTCAAATGGGGGTTTGCGACGACATTCTAGGTCTCCGCGAAACCCTGCCTCATCAGTCAAGCCCGGCAATAAAAGTTGTATTTTTTCAGATTGAGAAGAAACATTCAAATTTTCGGGCGAGTTTTCTCGTGTGTATGTCACTATAAGAAGTCTACTTCATACTAGCTCTTAGTTATATCCATTTATTAAATCATCATTATGATTACCCTACCATAATTTTTCCTTCCCCTCGCCATGAACGGGGTCCTCCGAAATTTCCGCCAATCCACAAAGGGTGCAAAAATGTCAGTGGTTGAAAGCCAGTGGTCTAGAGCGTGAACCAGTATTGCCATATCTCATAGGCAGACAAACCTTCCACCCTCTAAAACTCGACATCTAATTTCATTTTTAGCTCCAAGTATGACAGCGCCATTTTGAAAAAAGTATTTCGCACACGTGTGCCACATGTTGGCCACGTGCACACGCACACGTGCGCCACATGTGGTTTGGCTTCTATGATTATGAAGTTCAAAAGGTCCAAGTTTGTTCTGCTGGTCAACCCAGCAAGTTCAAAGGTTTAAAAGGTGCTAAAGCTTAAGAAATTCATAAATTGAGTTTTTTTAATCTCTTGTTAAAAAAAGTTTGTAGTACCCGTAATTCGAATATTAGCGGTTCCATAAACTTTTACTTATGAAAGCACCATATTTTTATTCATCGCGCTATCAAGTACTATACTTGACCTGGAAGAGATGCACCACTACAACACTTTAAAAAACACCTCTTCACTTCACCCACATTGTCATTACATCCTGGAATGGTAAAGGGAATATGGCAATGCTTACTCTGTATAAAAGAACTCCATCCTGGTGAAGCTTATTTAACAGAAGGAACACAATATTCGGTTTGTCGGCTGCCATCTCCCAAGTTTGAGATCCTGAAAAGTAAAAAGCAAGGGTGTAAGTTTTAGGTGCTGCACTACTGGTCACCGAGAACTTCACAACACCTCAGCATTTTACATCATAATTAAGTTGTCCAGTTCATTAGTGATCCTAGACTGAACCATTCTCGAGGAAATATTCGGCGAGCATAAATGCTATAATCCTCTGTGTTTATATTTGCCTTTACAATGTCTCGACCTATCATGCCAGTCATGAACAACTAGCGTGGAAAGACAAGGATGATCCTCAGCAGTGGTATGACTTTCAGTTAATCTACTTTCATATCTCTACAGTTAAATTTCCTTTTCGGTACCTGAGCTCATTTGAGGTGGATGAGCTTCGGTTCTCGAATGCCTGTGATCTGCCTCAGTTCGGTGCCTTCTCTAGAAAATTAATGAGACAAACAACACAGCAGGCATTTTCAGAATATTTATTTTGACATACGGTAGTTAGAACTTGAATTAATATGGATGAGTAACATAGAGCTAAAAAATATGTAAGTACCATTTTTACTGATTTGATTAAATGAGAAAAGTGTCTAGGTCAAGAAGGAACCTTGAAACATATTTGGACAATTTGCAAATAACAATAGAGTACCTATTTTGGCTCCTGTTTGCAAGAAGCAGTTGATCGCATCCACATTTCCTGATCCGATGGCTCTGTCCAGGGCTCTGATTCCACTTAGGTCCACATGCTCGATCTCAGCCCCATTTTTTAGGAGCAGCTTGATCTGCAAACAGATGATAACCATTTTTTGTCAGAGTTAATCTTATTATAAACCAAATGCTACATAAACGTGGTAATTTGCAGCTGTGGCAATTATTTTTACAATCTTCGGTTTAACGACAGAAACAGAGAATGTGCTTCCTGTTTTCAGCAAGCAGGAGCACGAAAGAAGATCGAGCTCATACTACGTGAGTCTACAGGGGCTCCGGAAGTCAATTCTGATCGGGGGGGGGCGGGGGACAAGGCTCACATCCTTGCAGTGCAGATTCCCCCCCCCCCCCATCAACTTTGAAGATCGTACGCGCGGAAAAACCGAAATGGAGGAAGCGACCTTCATTTAGCCGAAATCTTTTCTGAGTAACAAAAAGAGATCTTCAAAATCTCTAGCACGCAAGAGCGTTTCCGTGGCCTCTCCTGTCACACCGAACAAAAGTACGAAAATGATTGACGGACGGCAGAAATGCTTTTCGCGTCTAGACGTCGTGCAGAAACTTCAAGGGGCGCCTCCCATGCTAGGCCAGCTCTGAACCCTCTCCGGCCATTATGGGATCAGTGCGCTTAATTGGCACGGTATTGGCATGGCCGAGCTTGAAAGAGCCAATCCTAAGCAAAACTCGTCAAAGAGAGTGCGCAGTCCCTCCAAGGACATATGCTCCGGACTGCTGTTAGTCAAAGCGCTCTGCCAGAGACCAATTTCCCGTGGCAAGAGGTTTTATGTTTGGGGAGGCTTATCCAGAGCCGGAGGGAGGCCTCCTCCCCGCCATCCTTTCCGATGACAAGGAATGGTAGAAAGAGGCTTTTCCTAAGCTGCCCCCGTCCCGCTGCCAGGGATTAAGATGTGACCAATACGCGCGCCTCAAAGCTGGCTTAGAAGAAACGTTTACTCCAGCACTTAACAAAGGTATCAGTTTTACTATTAATTCTCGTCCCGACAAAACGTCGCTGTCCTTTCTTATTCCCCTTCAAGCTTGGAAGGCGCAGTAGCATGTTGCTCTGACTACATTAACGGAGGGTTGTGGGTCAGCCTTCAGCGTCGGGGGGCACGACCCCTAAGAAAAAAACATGAGGGGGGCGGACACCCCCTCTGCCCCCCCGGTTCCGGAGCCCCTGGCGCGAGAGCTCATCTCCCAAAAATACTACAAAGACCATCCACCTTGAAGCTGACAAGGCCGGGCAGCTAATTTAAGTAGGCATGTGCAAATGGTGGATTTTTAGTTTGAAGCACATTTGAAGCAAATAGTGGTTTTGCCTGAATATTTTCTAATCGAAAGTCAAATAGCTTTTCAAAGTCTTCCACTGCCGTGCATCATGCTTAAACAAAAATTCAATTGAACTCGTGAAGGTTGTTCGGCCATTATTCCAAACCCGCCACCTGTCCACTGTTAAGCTTATTTAATCTTAATATAGCTATATGAACTGTGGCATGTAAACAACAGATTTGTTGTAAATATTCTAATTGAGGGGATTTATTAGTCTGCTTGCTATATGCAAATATTCTTTCTTCTATTTAAGGGGGATAGGTGGCCGAGTGGGCTAGCGCACACCAGCTTGGAGCGCGTAGAGCGAAAGCTCGCGCTGCAGAACCCAGGGATCCTGGGCTCAGTCCCCACCCCTGTCTATTTCAATCTGGATGAGCATCTATCGGCGTGCGGTCGTGTACCACTACTGCATGATGCACGTTAAAGACCCCAGGCTAGCGGCTGTACTGCACTGGCTAAATTTCTCATCTACAGCTGGGAGACTCGTTGCCTGTTGAGGCAGATCAAGTTTTAGGCTGTATAAACAGACACACAACCCCCCCAATTTTTTCTTCTATTTAAACTTGACAAAAAAAGCAAGAATGATGAATGTGGGTTGTCAAGACATCCGTGCATAACAGATACTCTTAAGTCCTGCACAATTGTGGCGGGATATCCCCGTTGAGGGCGCTTCTCACCAAACATATGTGCACAGTGGGGAAGCAATACGAAGACCAAGTCGTCTGCTTTTTGCGAAGCAGACGACTTGGTCTCCGCAGGAGTTGCAGTGACGTCAGAACGACGCCGAGCTCTGATTGGCTCTGATTGAAAGATAGTGCGTAGACCACAAGGCAGCTTGCTTTGAGATCTACCCACTATCCTTCAATCAGAGCCAATCAGAGCTCGGCATTCTGACGTCAGCAGAAGACCTGCAAAAGAAGCAGACGAACTTGCGCTCTGCATACCCGCGAAGCTTGCAAGATCCATAGGTGTTGCTTCCCCACAATGCACAGGTGCTCCGGGAGAAGCGCACTTAACAGAACTAATCCGCTGCAATCAAAGCTTCAAAAAGTGTGAATACCACAGTTCACCACGAAGCGAATATCAACTAGCATATTCGAAACTTCCATCCGAAAATTCCAATATTCACACAACAAAACTAAGCAACCATTACATTTGATCTATCTGGCTGCGCTATCACGTTCATTTACTCACAATATAGCTAAGTCAATTTGTTCTAAAAAAAAAAACTGTGGTTACCATGCCAGCAGTTTGATTGTGCAATCGCCTCTTCTGCCCTTCTAAAGGGACGTGTGTGTGCGTTGTCTCCCTTTTTGTTCTCGGTCTCGAGTTTTCAAGATGTTGAATCCAGACACAAATGCCTTGTTGGCACCCTTACGCAGTCTAAAAATATCTGTCCTTGTCTTGCTCGTGCAATGAATATAGCAGCGAGAAAAAGACTTGCTAGAGCTCACCACGTCAGCCTTTCCCAGGGAGGCGGCCATGTCGAGGGGAGTCCTGCCTTGCTTGTCGCTGTGGTTGATATCGGCGCCATGGGTGAGCAGACACTGGGCCGCCTGGACCTGACCTCTGCGGCAGGCCCAGCTGAGGGCTGACAGACCCTCCTTGTCTGCACACAGTGGGCTGGCTCCTGGGGAGGGCGGGACAGAAGACGGATAGTTCAGCCTCAGCTTCCTTTTCCCATCAGTCAGAGTATTGTAGTAAAACGCACATAGAAACTTTTTTAATGTAGATGTAGCTATATCTGAGGTACATCTTACATTGGCCAGGTTAAAATTGTGACTGGTGAAGGAATAACTCTGCATAAATTTTGTGACAGTCATAAACAACAAATTTCGGTCAGTGTGATGGCAATAAAACCACAAATCAAATATGAAGGCAAAATGGGTGCCGTTATTCGTAACAAGTTGGGCATTCTACATCTTTTGCCACTCATCAATTAAGGATGGGGGAATTTAGTGAATGCTTGCTGAAGAAGCCCAAAACATTGCTGCCTTACCACTATATTCATTTCGCTACAAAAGAAGAAAGTGGGCCATGCTGCATTTGAGCAAGTCAAACGTATGATGGCTCAGAGGATGTGGTGAAGACCATGAAAAAATATAAATTTTGCAAAGCAGCAGAATCACTTATACTGGCAGTGGCAGGTAGTTTAAAAAAGAAACAAAGTTACCGTTTTATTTTAATCTGTTTAATAAATCGTCCTATGCAGTATTGTCACATCCTTTCCTAGTATTTCCTCGTGTTCCTTTCCTGTCTTCCCTTTCTTGCGACGACACGGAGAGTGCACAGATGCACAGGCTGAAGTCGGGGAGCGTCGTGTAGGGCAACTTATAACGCACTGATGTGCTATGCGTGCAAAGATGCATAGTTACCGTAATATCCGAAGAGATGCCCAACCCGAAAGATAACCTATCCCTTTTTGGCTTGATTCACTATTTTTTCTTAAACATCAAAAGATAGCCCATTTCTAGTAATCATAGTTTTCGGATCAATGATGGCATCGGTGTAAATGTGGCTAGTTAGCTAGGGTGGGATATAAGCGAACATTGCTGACTGGGAAGTACAGTCATCTTTGCTTCATTGTCCCTTGCGGCAATAACAGGCTTAGCAGGGACACACAATCTAAAAATAGTATTTTTTTAACTTTTCTTGAATACACACTGAAAGTTAGCCCACTCTTAATTTCACCCAATCTGCTCTTGATTTTTGGTGGGTTATCTGTCAAGATATTACGGTAGTCGAAGACGCAGTTGCTTGGCAGGCGGCCAACTACGCTGCCTCCCACGTCTGCTTGACTGGTGCCTTCGGAAAACAAAAAATCTGGGTTTGCTTTTGTCAAAACACAATTCCGCATTAATAAGAGGGACACCGAGGACTGAAGAAAGACTGCGCCTATTGCTTGCCTTTTGCAAGCAACAGCTCCAGCACCCCGAGGTGGCCCTCTGCAGCGGCGAGCATGAGCGGGGAGCGGCCGTAGCTGTCGCACTGCTCCAGCGCCCTGGCGTGCGAGAGGAGCAGCTCCGTGACGGCCCAGTGGCCCTCGGACACGGCGCAGCACAGGGGGGGTTCCCCGCTGTTGTTCTTCACCAGGGCCGACGCACCGCGGCGCATCAGCACGCTGCACAGGTCCTTGTGCCCCGCTAGGCTGGCTGCGGTCAGCGCCGTGTGGCCACTGAAGTCGTCCTGCTTGTTCACTTGCACCTCCATCATGTCTAGCAGGAACTCGCACACCTGTGATGCAGTTGGCGGCAAGGTGAGTTATGTTTTGTATTTGCATGCAGTGACATAGAGATTAGCTATACTCGTTATATTAGAATATAGAACTTTGTGCAACCATGGATCCGCAGAAACTGATGTGTGGTTTAATCAGGATAGAACAGCAGTGTATTTGTTTGGAGGTTACTGTTGAAGGACAGATTCAAATCATTTCAAAGAGAGTTTCGCAAAACATGTACTCAAGGTTTCAAAGCAGTAGAAACAGCAATTTTAAAAGCAAGAGTTGCTGATTCCATTAAAGTATAAGTGAAGAACTGATAAACCTGCTTTATTTTAAGAGCCTTTTCCTTCCTTTTTATTTTTTATCTGTCTTTAGCAAGCTGGCAAGTGTCTGATTAACTTCTTTGCCTTCCATTCACTTTTGCGCGACACAAGCCAACTGGAAGATTAACTCGATACACTTGCTAGCAAAGTTACGCGCACACTTCAGCAGCTTTGCAATTTTGTCGGCACACTGGAGCAACTTTCACGCTGCAGGTCCAGAGATCGAATGGTGGAACCTCACTCCTGTCAGCTGCTGCTGTGCCGGAGTGCTTAAAATAATCATGTCATGTCTGCCTGACGCAAGCAAGCGACCCCAAATAGACTGATGCACTTCACTGGTAACATGTTGACAAAACTAGGTAGCACACTAACAAACTGTAGTCCGAGCCGACGAGATTGTTTCCTGCCCGTGTTCCGGCGAGCATATTCGTTTGAGCCCACCTGCGTCTGTCCGGACTTGGCAGCCACAATGAGGGCCTGCTGTGCGGCCCTCCGTAGCCCGAGCCCGATGCCATAGTCGTCGGGCCAGCTGCACTGCACCAGGTGGGAGACCAGGTCCAGGTGGCCAGAGGAGGCCGCATACGCCAGCGCTGAGAGGTCCTTGCTGTCCACATGGTCAATCTGGTGCAGGCAGGGCACACAGAACACACATCCCTTGTTATACCTCAAGGAAGCAATGCAAGCAAACTTGTTCATTCCACCAGTTCTTAAGTTTGTACAATTTGATGGCAAGTAATCTTTCTAAAAAATTATGACCTGCTAAGAAGAACTCACTATGAAAAAGTGATTTGTATATACTACATTTTCAATATAAATTATTCATCAAAAAGTGTTTCGTTTTGGCTGTTCTCAGTAATAATGGGCTAGCAGGTGAATGCCATAAAAAAGTAAGGTCACTGTAAAATATCGGGCAAGCACCCACTCAAACTTTGGAGATAATCACAAAAAAAATGGGAGATGGGCTCTTGTCCAGTCATCAATTTTACATATAAATGTACTGTGCATATTTTCTCAGATCTTACAAATTGGGGAATGGGCGCTGAATGTGGAATGGGCAGATGTGCGGTATTGTACGGTATGTGGTCTCAAACTGCATTAAAGAACATATTTAGAATTCTAAATATAATCTTAACATAAATATTCTGTTTGCAGTTTCTTTTTCACCTCCAAAAATGCAATGCTTCCCCCCTGTAACATGCAACATGCTTTGATGAAATATCATTAGTCAGATTCACTAAAAATAACTATTTTATCAAATAGTAGTACCTCACCTCAAAATAGAGGCTGCTTTCACATACCCAAATTAGGCAGCTGTCACCTTCACAAGCATATAAACTAACCAGCTAGCAGTTTTTTATTATAAAGCAACTCAACACAAGGTAAGTGCATGGAGCTAGGTAAATATATGTTCTCACACGATCATATGTTACTGCTTTCTGCATTTGGAAAATAACAATCCCAAGCTTCCAAAAATAATTTAAATGAATAAATTCCACAAATATATTTGAAAAAAATTTCCTATTGCTCAAGCTCGGATATTCACACTTTCATAATGCTGGTACTCTAGTTTTGCTCAACCTAACTGTGGAGACTGAACCACTAGACTCAGTTCTTAATAATCAAATGAATTACAAAGCTAGTTACAAAAGATAAAAGCTGGGATGTCTTCGATTGGCAGAAGTTGTGGGTTAAAACCAGAATTGTTCATACTGCAGTAAATAATTAGGTTTAGATTCCAGAGCATACAGCACTGCCTGATTTGAGTAAAAAAAACGTGCTAAAACAATAAAACAAAAAAAAAATCCACACACAAACATAAAACAATAGCAGAGTAGAATCAACCAACAAGGCATTGCATTGATGATGCAATGATAGTCAAAGGTTGAAGACAAAAAGTAGCCATCTGATGTTCTCCAAAAGCAGCTTCCCTCAAATTAGAGAAACAAATGGTAAAATAAAGGCCGAAATTCCTCTGCACTGGCCTTTCTGGCTTGCAAAATTATAGGCCCTGCCAAAAATGAGCAGAGTGCCTTTTGCTCACCCTCGCCCCACAGGCCAAAAGGTGTTTGGCAATCTCGAAGTGACCACGTTGGCAGGCCATGCTGAGTGCAGTGCGGCCAGTGTCTGAACAGATGTTGACGTCGGCTCCAAACTCGATCAGAGAAGTGACCATGTCAGTGAAGCCTTCGTGGGCCGAGAGCACCAGCATGGGGGCCCGGTGAAGGCAGGAGGTTCGTGTGTTGGGGTCTGCCTGAGCCAGCAACAGCAAGCGGCTCACCTGCGTTCCACCGAGGCATCGGGACTAAGTTTTACGCATGCCGAGTGTGCTCGGAGCTTGAATGCACGGCGCACCGAGATATGTTATGTTTAAAGTTCCGTGTTTTCAGTCTTTTTTTTTTTTTTTTTTCTTGAATTTGGGGTGTTTTTCTAGGGGGGAGGGGGGGGGGGCGGTCATTTTTCCTACAGATTTTGTGTTTTTTGTGTAAATTGGTTATGACTCAGAACAATTTACACAAAATCACCGAATCTGTAAAAAAACACCAAACCCTGAAAAAAACAAAATATACCCCCAAATTCGAGAAAAAAATAGACTCAGAAAACACGGAACCCTAGTTATGTTTGACAGTACTAGCTGAACAGACTACTAAAATTGCAAGATAAATACCAACCCAAGATCAAAAGATAATTGTGCCAGATTTGAAGATACGTGTTTGCTCGATGGTGCTTGCAAGACATAAGTGCATTTTTACTATTCCATGATACTGATATGCTTAAACTCAATTTCTAGTGAACCATTCAGAAAAAAATATATACAAGCTTGATCATGCTGATGAAGATTGGTAAGTGCAGAATGTGGGATAGGTCTTCCAAGGAAGAAGAGAAGGGCATCTGGACATAGCTAAATGTGCTGTGCTGCGAAGTTCTACAGTACATATGAGTGATCAGAAAATGAAAGGAAAACAACGAGTTACACGGAGATGAGGAGAAACACAATGTACATGAGAGGGCACAGACTAGCAACTGCTTATTCTTTTCTTTTTTTCTCCTTTTCCATGCATGAGTTTTCCCATCCCTGAGTTTGGAAAAATACAAAAATTTGAGAAATTGTGGAGTAAGAGGGGACCTTGAAGCTGGTGTTAACCTCGTTATGCTGTGGAGTGTCTGAACATTTTGATTTCCTTTCCTTCAGTGCAACTGATTGAACACTGACACACGTTCTGCGCTTTCCTGATACCATGTGGAAGGCTTCTATGATTTCGTGCTTGTTCCTATCGTTTGATCTATTCAAGACTGAGGTAGTTCCAAATAGCGGTTCGCAGCTGTATTTTGCACAATGTGCTGCCAGGTTGCCGGGTGCTTGCGATTGCCCGCATGCAATGTACGATTTGCCACACGTCAATGGTATTTTATAGACAACCCCTTCTACGCATCGACAAACTTATTTGTGTTGTACCCAATACAACGATTGACTTGATGTGTCGCCTCCCTCTTTGTTTACCTTTTTGCACAATCCTTTTAGCTTGAAGGGGGCAGATAGGGCCACTTTGACCTTGTGTGTTCTGGCGATCTTTTTCAGCCTGTGCTAGAAGTTGTGTACGTATGGCATCAGTACCAGTGTTTTTTTTTTTTTTGTCTGCGTCCTCTTCCTTGGTTTTGCGATTGAGCCCTGAGTGTTGTTATGCATTTTTCTGCCACAGCTACCAGCAGAGTTTCTGGGTAGCCACTTGCCCGTAGTCGGGTGATTTGCCTTTGTAGGCCTTTTGACAGCCTATGGTGACATGATTTCTTGTACAAGATGCAGCTGCGAACCTACACCACAAACACTGAAAGTCCACACATCATGATGACATTTTTCATTATTTCTCAGATTTTTGTTTTTTTTCCAAACTCACGCATGAGAAAACTCATGCCTGGAAAAGGAGAAAAAAAGGTAAGAATAAACAGCTGCTAGCATGCACTCATTCATGTAGGTTGTGTTTCTCCTCATCTTCGTGTAACTCATTGTTTTTTTTTCCCATTTTCTGGTCACCCGTATGTTCTGTAGAACTTTGCAGCACAGCACATTTAGCTATGTACAACCAACTAGTCCAAACCCCAGTCCAAGCTTTATTATGCATCTGAACGGCAGCACCTAAAAAAAATTCACTCTCATTTGTGACTGACGCCGTGAAATGGTGCAGTATAACAAAAAAAATGCAAATGACAGGCACCGTGGAATGACTGTTTTTGCAAGCTCCGGCACTCAACCCTGGATAGCTCAGTCGGCAAAGCACTTAGGTCACAATCCCAAAGTGGTGAATTCAAATCCTGCCGAAGGACTGAAGTTTTTTTATATGGTCCCCCATGGGCGTAACGCTTTTCGGTGTTGGTTTCTCATTACAGTCAAACGTTACAGAACTCGAGGGAAATAGGCTGATAAAACACATATTGTGTTGAAAAAGAAATGACACTTTAAAGTACACATTTTTGTTTGTAGCAAAAAAAAAAAATAGAGAATTATGTCTGGTGTGGTGTATTGCACTATCACAACAAGATGAGTTATACTTTTCAGAACAGAATGTATTTTATCTTTGTTTCTCTATATAAACTGGCACAAGCCGAATGCAATTTGCAGTACTTTATGTAAGGCAACATAGACAAACAGTTTTAGCACGTGCTTTGGGAAATTGTACAACTAATATTACAGCTATTATGTACTGAACATGCTTGTAATTCTCAGTCTTCAGGAAAAGGCTAATTTCAGTATTTTTGCTGAAGACATTAGCCAAAAATCAAATTATAGCCAGTTAAGGTTTCGTCCTAAAGGGTAAGATTATGGTTTCCTATAACAGTCACTTAACTCTTAAAAGAATGAAAAATGCACATTAGCTAAAGTTAATCTCGGGAGAATTCCAACATAAATTAGGAGTAACATATCCAGTCAAAGGATCGAACCAACTACATATAAGCGTTCCATGTGCAGAATATACATTATCAACTGAATACTATATTGAAGTCTACGTTCCAATCTGCAGGTTTTGATTTGGAAAAGCCAAACACAAAATCCAAATCCTGGAAATAAGCAGAAAAAATTAATTTCCCTCAAACTTTTGAATTTAGCCAAATGTAGCCTCAAACCTTGGTAGAGGGCCAAATCAACTCATTGAGGAACGTCAATTCATTAGGAAGTTACTTCATAAAGCAGACACAGAACAGGAAAAGTAAAACGAGAAAGCGACGGTGGCTCCACCTTGACGTTGGGACTGTAGACATTGGGCAGAGCGACGAGCGCAGACGAGACACAGGCAGTGCTCTGGAAGACCCAGCACGCCTGCAGGTCCCTGGGAGAGCAGCCCGGAGGCAGGCTCTGGCCCAGGCTCTTGTAGATGTGGGCCTTCAGGATGTGGTGGCCCAACTCGAGCACTTGCACCGGGTCCAGGGGAGCCTCGATGCGCGACATGCGGAACGCGATGGATGCGTGGCCAGCCCTGCACAGTCGTGGGCACAGAGTCAGCCACGACCTTGGAAGGTCAGGGCGTTTCTACATATTTTTGGTGCCCCTCCTTGCAGGCATGCAGTATTCGATGCAGTAACGGAATGATCTGATGGGCTAGATTTATTTATTTATTTATTTTTACATACTGCTGGCCCGTGGGATGTGGCAGGGATGAACATACATTTAACAAAACAGTAAGGTTCATACCTCCAATAAAGCATTAAACAATATCATATTTACAACATTCAATACAAAATGTGCCCAGAGCACAAATGAAAAGAAAAAGAAAAAAGGACTAAATGCAATTAAAAAGAGAGTGATCAGCAATTTAACAGTAAAAATAAATTGACAATAAACAAAGGCATGTGCCATGTACCTACACTACAACACAGCATATAATATATACATATGTAACTTCAAAGAGTGGGAAGAGAAAGAAAATAACGTCCAAGGCGATATGTTCACATTTTAAACACAGTTAAAAAGTCGAATGGCATGCTCAAACGTAGAAACAATTTTGACATTGACAATAGTTTGGGATGCTTATTCCAATCATTAATCTCATTTGCAAGAACATGATGAAGAATAGGTAGGTGAACATTAGAAAACACAAATAATTGTGAGGGACTCGGGTGAGTAGAAGAGGCAAGAGGACAAGCACTTGTCTTCTCTGCTTGTTCTACTTGTCCGTGTTTTTTGCATTTTTTGTGTTGTGTAAGCTCCGATACAGTGTGTGGCTGCTTGAAAACTTCAGCTGTGAAATCGCTAATAGGTCTTACATTATGCAGATATGTGTGGAATTATACAATGTCCCCACTCTGATTAAAATCTTATCTCATTTATAGAAGAAAACATCTACCGAAACAAACTGCTAGACACATACCAATGGTCATTGTTATATACTACACCTCATATTGCAAACTCTGCAGGGGTGCAGTAAACAAAAATATTTGGCAACACAATCCTGGATGACTTATCAACAAAGATTGTGCTATGGTTGTGTTACACAATCTACTTAAGTCCAAGATTTCTTAAGGGCCATTCACACAGTAGCTTTTGACTACACTTACTACTACATGTTATATTGTGATATGGTCATGAGTGGCCGAGACATCCGTGCTCTGCAGCACCGGCCTAAAGGTGGGCGGCCTGGGTGGTTGCACAGGGCGCCATTAATAAGGAAGTGCCGCCGCACCCCTGTTGAATATTTTTTTAGCTTTTTGATATACTTGAACACAACGCCTGACGCAATGTTATATGATCGATCGCCATTCATTTTTGGAGTGCAGCTTTGGCTGACAAAATGCTGATGTTGTGTCACTACTCGCATGCTTATTCACTTGATGTCGTACCTACAGGGCATATAAAAAGGAAGGAGGCTAGAGTTTGCCCACAGCTCTCATCAAGCTGTTCGGTGTATCTGTGACGCTGCCATAATTTTAGTCAACAGGAGGCAAGTGGCAGTGCACGAAATGGCTTATGCCGAATCAAGCTCCACTCACACAGCGGGGTTGTCGCGTGTCAGAAAGACTAAAGTTCCTTCGATGTAACGCAGCAGTGATAGCATAGCAAAACTGACTGGTGAGATCAGTCTATTCAAGGTGTAGCTTGAGATGTGGCATAGGAAGGGCGGACAAGCCGATGACTGGCACTTGTATCATAAAGTAACATAGACAAATGCAACCATGTGAATGGGCCTATAAACTGCCATGCGAAGCCACATGGATGAAGTGGGCTCCACCTCGTGGAATCTAGAGGGCTGCGGCAGGAAGGTGCCTGTAGTGTCCTCTAGCCTGTTACCAATACGCAGGTGGCAACAGTGGGCTGTTGGCAACCGTGTATGTGAAGCAATGGTGCAAGGAAGGCAATGTTACTAAAACCCTCAGTTGGGAAACTCACCTTTGAAACCTAGGCCGCTGGCGTCCACCGAGACCGTGCTAAATGCGATAACAGTGCCACCCTTTAGCGATGAGTTGAAACATGAAAGCTGCTTTACATAGCTACTGCCCTTACAACCGGCCCTTGCCCCACTCGACGTGCAGCCGTGCAGTTCCCAGAGTGGACGCTGTGGGAGAAATGGCGGCATTGCGATCGCCATTAGCTCGGTTCTCGAGTACGGATCGGAGCCACTTTTTCAAAGCAGGCTCTATGGCAGTTTCCCAACTGAGGGGTTCTAGTAACGTTGAAGGGAGGCGAGCATCTTTCTGAACCCTGTTTGTTAATCAAACCCATCGGAGCCCACCTGACGTCGCAGAGGAACTTGGAGCTGTCATTCTCGTCCCTACGCAGGAGCCACTCCCGCAGGGATGGGTGGGCCAGCATGAGGCTCTGGTCGTTGCGCTGGATGAGGAAGTGTGCTCCAGTCAGGGCGGCCAACCGCTGCTGGAAGTCGGCCCAGGACATGGGCTCGTGCAGGGAGCCGGCGTTGGCACTGTGGTACAGCTCGTGGGGGCGCAGGGGGCACAGGGAGGCCATGCACACCTGCAGTATGCCCTGCACCTGCACGAGGAAATACGTGTTGTAGCTGTATGCACATCCATGCACCCGCAACTCATTTGTTTATATATCCTGGACTCATATAAACAAAAGATGCTTTTATTACGGCATATGATGAAAACACATCATAGAGAAATAAGCGAACACTTGAAAATTCTTAGAAATATGAGAATACTATGCAGCAGACATCATAAGTACTGACGGTGAGATGCAACTTTAAACAAAACCATGATGCACTTCTTCGGAAAATTCTAGAAGTTACTCACGGGGGGAACGACGCCATTGTTTTTAACAAAGCACTTTGATGAAAGGTGAATCCTCTTAAATGACCTTCTGTAACTTTGAGGGGTCAATAAATTTCGAAGTCGGTAGTATACAAAAGGCTTTATTCTTGACTATACATCTCACTAGTGGAATGCAGAGTCCATTCTGCTATTTAAGTTCTGGGGCAAAGTAGCTAATGTTTTACACTCGTTTCTCGTCCAACGTTTGGACAGCTATTGTTGATTCAAACAACTAGTACCAGCAGTGAGATGCTTTCAGAAGCTGTGTGGCTAGACACCAAAAGAAAATATTAAGGAACTCTGCTCTGTATCTGATAACCACCACCAGAGTTGAACAGGGGAGGTAACCCTTTACGATTAAATAATTCATAAACCCACAAAGTGCAAGTACTAAGATCTGAACAAAAAGAAAAGGAAGACATGTAGGTTCTCGACTGCTCAGTCTTTCAATCTTAAATCAGGCCCTAAGAATTTCATGTCTATTTTCCAACATGTCACAATTATTTCGGGTGACATTTACGCCCACCCTTGTTACGTGTCGGCACACTTACCCTTTCGTAGGACCTTGTTGTTGTGAACTTGAGGTTGAAGTTGAGCAGGTAAACCTCACTCAGGCTGACAGGAAGCACCTTGTAGCTGCTGCTCTTCACCACCAAGTGACCCTTCTCAATCAGGTCCATGGTAAGCTTTACATACAGGAAGCAGCCTTTACTCAAGTTAGCCAGATGGTTGGCAAACCTGAGAGAAAGATGAATTCAGTGTGTCACTAACAGTTGGTTGATGCCTCATTTGGTACAATGCAGTGAAGAACATTCAGGTGCACATGTTTGTTACATGGTGCAAGTAAATGGCAGTAAGGCAGTGGAACCTGTGCATTTACATTATTTGCAGCATGCAAGCTTTAATATTGCCACGCATGTCGCCGAGCGAGCGCGTGTGTGACCAAGTGGTTACATTGCTTGGCTTTCGTGCGTAGGCCCCGGGCTCAATTCCTGGGAGTGACGCATCTTTTATGTATTCTTTCAATTTAGAGTTCTCGTAATTAGTTTGAAAACCTTGTCGTCTGATTGAGGTATGAATATTCTACGCGCCAAATGTTCTACGCCGAATGTTCCAGAAACCCACGCGGGTATATAAGGGACTCTGCACGGCGAGCAGGAGTCAGTCTTGCCCCAGAGCTCTGTCTTGCTGTTTTGAAGACATCGACGCCTGCATGCTAACTTTCTTCTACTAATTGTTTAGGGCACAAGTTCGCCCCTCTAAAACGTTTAGTTTCCCTGGTTATTCGCCGCCTCTTCATTTGTCATTCGTGACAATACACATCTGAATCGCAAGATTTTTTTACAGCTGAGCTGTTAAGGGCTAGTATCCCCAGTTTTGTGTCTGGTACCAAACAAATGTCGACACAAAACTACACAAAGTCTGGACAGCTACCGCCACCTATGAGCAACGGCGGCAACCGGACAACTGCCGCCATCACTCATAGATGGCGGCCACCTTTCCAGCTATCATAGAAGAATGCATACTTGGGCGAGTTGGTGGAAATTCATCGTAGGAAGTAACGCGCAAAACAGACAAGGATGAAGAAGAAACATTTAGGAAAAAGCATACAGCTTTGCTGGTCTTCCTTCTTCACCATAGTGGAAAGGCTGAAAGTTTGTTTTTATGTGTGAATGCCATTTCTAGATGATAATAAAGTCCACAAGTATCACAGTTCGTATATGTAATTTTCCAAAGTTAGGGAGCTGTCAGAAGTCCGAGTTTTATGGTATCTGCCGAAAGGTACTTAGGCCTAGGTATGTAAGAGTAGCCCACCTTCCAGTCATGCAAAACGTTAACCGCATCACTCCTGTAGTGTCTTGTCCTAATTCAAGGATTATTTTCTCTTTTTTTTTTTCGTTTGCAGGCCTTTATTTTTATTTATCAGCAAAACGTCTCGTGACATTTAGGGACTCTATTGAATACAGATACAACCTCTCAAACAACAGACGATCACCTAAGAAGCGGAGTTATTACATATTGGTGTGGGAGTGCAATTTGCTCAGTTGTTGCAAGGAGGTCTTTAAATTTAGAACATCAACATCATGCATCAATTTCCAAATCCTTACCTTGCATGAGTGGATCCATCCTGTTTTCCGTTGTTCACCGTGATGTTGGCACGTGCAGAAGGGCTGGACTCAATGCGAAACAAAATGTAGCCCACAATGTCCCTCATAAGGTTTTCGTTGGATGAGATGCGGTCAAAGGAAACTTGGTGAAAGGGAAGTTGGCGTGCTATTTCCTGGAATGCCGTCCGTACTGTGACAATCAGCTGAAAACAGACAATGCAGGCATCATATTAGAGTAGTAATAAATATAATGGGTTGTGTCGTATGGATAAAATTTTAGCAACACCGTACACAAAATGTGAATTCATTCTAAACGTTTTTTTACTCAAGGTTAAAGACATCTCATATTTATTGTTTATGTGGCTTTATGACTACTATAAACCCCATACCACATTATTGAGGCAGTGGAAGTTGAACTTGTTGACATTACTGTGGCATTACTGTGACAGTAACAGTATAAATTGAATTACTTAAACTCCCATTAGGTTTTGTCAGGCAAGCATTACAGTAATAATGTTAGTGTGGCATAAAGCCGCCATTTACTAGAACACTTTGACTTCCAGTAATTTTATTTATATTATGATCCGACAGGTCCAGGCTAACAATATTATTTTCAAAATGCTTCCTAGTTTTATTTAATTTGCAACCACATTTTTCTGACTTTTGTTTACCTCTCTCATAAATATTTTTAACAGTAATAACCATTCTCTTATGTTAAAAGCTTTTCATAGAGCTTTAGACATAGAGTAAGCTAGAAAAGAAAACCGACTGATTTGTAAATTAGATATCCTTCTGCACAAAATACCAATAAAAGTGACCCTTTAAAACAGTGGTTCTCAAATGGGGGTCCGCGGACCCTTTGGGGTCCACGGAGGCATTCTAGGGGTCCGCGATGCCCTACCTCATCATCACGCTTGGCAATATGAGTTGTCTTTTTTTCAGGTCGAGAAGAAATGTTTCAGTTTTCGAGCGAGTTTTCTCGTGTGCATCTGAATAAGACAGGTCTACTGCAAACTACCACTTAGTTATATCCATTTATTAAATCATTATTATTTTTAACCTATACCTTTCCGCTCCTCTCACCACGAACGGAGTCCTTCATCAGCTCCGCCGATTCACAAGGGGTCCGCGAAACATCGATGGTTGAAAACCACTGCTTTAAAACATGACTAACCATTGTCCGGAGTCACGTCATCAAGTGCCGACATCAGAAGTAAAGTGTTTACCTTAAGCCACGATGGGAACTTGGAGATGTGCTTTGCTAGGAAGGAAGTGATGGTATCCCCATAGTCAGGCCGGTGTAGTTCGGCTTCATTGAGGGCGTCCACAACCAGAAGACAGCTGGTGTTGGGGATCCGCCCTGTCTGCCGGAGGCTGTGGAGAGGCTCTAGAATGCCTTTGAGCAGGGCGTCGTGGGGGTTTGTGTGGCACGAAGTAATACTCAGAACATCTTGCAGCCTGCAAGTACAAATGTTGGCCTCTCAGATACGGCTACACATTGGCCTTCAGTTGCTTCTCTGTAAGCTCAGAATTAGTAGAGTTTTAGTGCAAGCTGTCAAAAGAGTAGCAGAGGATTCATAGGCAAACACTCATTTGTAACTGAAGTGATTATGAAACATTATAATAAAAATAATATGTTGATGACAAAAAAATAAAAAAAAAGTTTACTCGTCATAGAGAGTACATATGAAAAACCAAGATGAATTTTACTTTGCACAGTGAGAAGACTGCAAATCAAAAGTAAAACATTTCTCCAAGATCATATGGTGCCATGGGAGAAGCAAGTAGACTTCGAGAAATTTGTTAACACCTTGCCTACTCATTTTTTCCTTCAAACAAAGTTTTGCTGGATGTAGCAAAACTTTATTTTAAAAGGCAACTTGCATCAAAATAAGACAAAAACATTTTCTTGACTTTCAGGTGTGGTGTGTGTGGTGACATTGTAGTCACGGGTTTCTTTGTGTGCTTAGAGCACATAGGTTGAGTCTGCACCATAAAAGGACACCCTCGAAAACCACTCCACCACCTCTTTAGCCTCTTTAAGGCTACTTTCAACAATGGCTGTCCTCGACTTGTTGGATGTGCCCACTGATTCCGGCCAGCATTAACTAGAGTCTGAAACCGTTGCTTCTGGCCTCACCCGTCCTCCCTGAGCAGGAGGTCCCGGTAGGCGACCAGCTGGGGAGCCTGGCAAAGCTGGGCGGCAATGCTGTGCACAAACTCGGGCACCAGGCAGGTGGCGTTGTTGTCCGCCTGGCAGAAGTGGTAGGCCACCAGGTGTGCCCCGAGGCAGCGGGCGCCCTCCTGGCTGGCACTCAGCCGGGGCTGGAACACCGACGACGCGCTGCCCCCGCCCACGCCGCCCAGCGGCCTCCGCTCCACGTCCCCATAGCGGATGCCTGAAACGAGAGACAGCGCCGTCGTGTACTGCTCGGTGCCGTGTCGGCGACATGCACATTATCATCAGTGGATGTTCCTCACTCTCAGTTTGCTGTCGCATGAATTTTTTTTACTAAAAGGCATTTTGGCTTGGAAAGTTCACTCCCACAGTCGCCGAGGGCATCAGAAATGCCTTCTTGTCGCACCTTAAGTGTCCTCTCTGCACACACTCCTGGCTCTTGACTTTTTCATTTCAGGGTGGACTACCATTTATTTATTTATTTAATTAATTAATTTATATGTTTGATACATAGTGCAATGCAGCTAGCAAAAAAAAAAAACACAATAGTATGTGCTTTCCATTCACAAATAAATGGTTCTCATAAAAAAAATGCTAGTGCGGCAGAATGTGCTCATCCAATGCATCAACTCGCATGCTAAAAGCTGGGGGTTCGTCCCTACTTTAAGTGAGCAAAATGCAAAAAAAGTGTCGATGTTGCATTTGTGCTAACTTTGTCGTGCAGTGTATATCAGAATCAAACAGAAGTGGACTATACTGACACAAATGATAATGGTAGGGAAGTGTAGAACTGAAAATAAGCCTACAATAAGGCAAACTTGTGCAAGTAACTAAAACAATAGTCTCTTCAGAGTTTCATTAAAAGGAAGATGGGGCACTTCTGCATTTGAGAAAAAACTCTTGACTTGTGTTCATTTCGCATTTAGAATAACAGATATCACAATTATGTATCAATGCGACACGCCGAAAAGCCATAAGAGCATTTTAATTTCAAAGTAGGGCTGAAGCCCCGCCTCCCTAGCTTTGGGCAGCCAAAAGATCTGTCGATGACGTCACAAACAATGACAGTCTTTCACGTTTTCTCGCGTTTAACAATACTTGCACAGCAAATGGTTTGGGTATTTGGGTTCATGGGGTAAATATTAGAATCCATATCTAACTCATGTTTGTCAAGAAGCTCCATAGCTTCCCTTTAAAGGACTAAGCGTACATACTCCTGTGATCATCGACGCATTATGTACTAACTTTTTTTCCCTCTTGCAGCTGTACTTTGCACCACAAAATAAGAAAGAGCATTAAAGAACCCAGCCATATCGTTTGTGAACTGTCCCTCACCAGCAGTGCCATAGGTGACTTCTTCTCTTTTCCGACCAAACGTGCTGTAATCCACCAGCTGCAAGATGGCAGCAGTCTTGCCTGAGCCAGGGCAGCCTACAATAACTACTCCTCGGTTGGTGTCCTTTTTTAGTTCCTGTAAGGACATGAAAATATTTCACCATAAGAAAAAATCCAAAGATGATAGCATACCATAGTCTTGTTCACAAAATGAAACAGAAGGTTTAGGCATAATAAGCACAGCAGTCAAACAAAGCAATAAACAATCCTTTCAAAATCAAAATTTTTTTTTTTGTGTCATGCTCAAACTAATAAAGTAATAAATTATTTGGCTGACTGAGTTGGGCTAAAGTAAAACTGAGATAAAAAAAAAAAAACTATTTTGTTAAGTAAAAATTAAACTTATTGAAAAAAAATATAATTTGTTGCAAATTTTTAGACATGGTAAGCCTGGAGCGGGGGCTAAAAAGGGTGTGGTTGAAGTGCTTATCTCGGTGCCTTTGTGTTGGTTGTTTGCCTTTAGAGAGTGTGTTGGTGCTTCAGGGTTTCCTTTTTGTGTACCTATAACTAGTGACCTTTTGTTGATCTCCAGGGTCTTTTGTTCTATGGTTCTTATCTGCCACGGTTGTGTGACCTCAGGCAGCGTTTGTTTCCTTGTGTGGTTGTGGACCTATTTAAGGATGTGGCCTGAAAAATACATCTTTAGCTGCGTTCTGAGTTTCGTGTCTGTCTGTCTTCTTTTTGTCCCCTCGCTCCAGGGTTGCCATGTCTATCCTTAACCAGCTCGCCTGCTTACTTGCTTTAACTACAAAATTCTACATTTTTTATAAACCCGTTCGTTTACAGATAATGCATGGCCAGTACGTAGTTTATAGCTATATATTCGTATATCAGAGGCACTGAATTTTTGAAACAGATATTCTTTCTAAACATTTTTTGTCAGTGTATAAAGTTGACAGCTTTATAATTCTTCCACTTGAAGTCCTGCTAATCACAATTACACTTCTTTTAGAGCTAAAGGCCAAAGCAAGCTTCAAATATTAGCTGCATTCTGATTATCATGCCAACTTGTTTCCAAAACAAGGATGCTACCTACAACCTGATTCAACTATGCCAACTTCTTCGTCATCTAATATGCAAGTACAGTACTGATTTCCATTCCCTAATCAAGTAAAAAGTTTTAAAATATGTCAAAGCTACTCAGACATATTAGATATATACAATCTAGTCATGTGTGAATAGTGGATTGAGTCCGAAGCACAAAGCGAATATTGGTTTTGGCCGAATATTTTCAAATTCGAATATCAAATAGTTTCTCCAAGCCTTTCAACACCGTGCATCATGCTCAAACGGAAATTCAGCTGAATTCATGCAGGTGGTTTCCAACTTCCACTTGTCCACTTCTAAGCTCAGTTAATTTTAATGTAGCAAAATTGTCAGAGCTATCTTAATCTAGGGGACTTATATGCAAAGATTCTTTCGGTTTTAAATTTGACAGAAAAAAAAAAAAAGCAAACACGAATGATGAACACGGGTTGTCGCCAAGACATAGCTTCCTAACATGTTCTCGCACAAGGTCGCGGCGGGTTAAACCCGTTGAGGGCGCTTCTCACCGAGCATGTGTGTACCGCGGGGAAGCAATACCCGCGGAGCCCGCGAGCTCCGCGGGTATGGCTTCTTTGCAGTGCACACGTGCTCCGTGAGAAGCGCACTCAACGGGGTTGACTCGCCGCGATCAACACTTCAGAAAGTATGAATATCGCTGTTCAACTTGAAACTAATATCTGTAAGTGTATCGTTCGAAACTACTATTAGAAAATCCAAATATTCGCACAACACTAAACAATCTTAATCTCTATCAACCGGCACAGTTATTACACTATTAGAAAAATTCTAAATTCGCCATGCTCTGATCATAAGCACACACAATTAAGCAGTAACAAACCGACACTCGGAACAGTTTCCAAGGTTACCTCGTCAATTTCACTGAAGAGCCACTGTCTGCCAACATACGGTGGATCATTGTCCGGCTGAGGAACCTCAAAAAACAGAGGCTTCAGTGCTGGTTGAGGTGAGATCTTGTACTGCAGTTGCACTCCTTAGGGGAAAAGTGCAATAAGAGGCAAATTAGTTATTAAAAGTTTAGCACACAATCGCTTTATGAAAGCCTACCAGATCTTTTAAATAAATGATGCGCGATAACAAAAAAGACGGAGTTTTTCTACTGATAATGGTGAGGGATATGTAAATTCCAATAACCTACCTCTCGCATGGCCAAGAGTGTGAGTTTTGCTTGAGCAATTAACTAATGTACCCCTCCTGTTGTTGGGTACACTATTATTCCCTGAAAATAAGAAATCCCTCTGTTAGTACACTGGCTCCAGTGAAAAGAAAAGTGGGCAGCATGGTGGCCAAGGGCAAGCCCATCAGCTTACTCTGTTGAAAGGGAGCCTTTCTGGAAGGTGATGGGGAAGAGCTGGTGCTCATTAGAGAGGCCACGCTATCTGAGCTCTCCTCTCTACTCGAGCCTCTCAGTATGCTCATGGCCTCCGCTTCCGAAGACCCTGTTAAAAAGAGGAAAAAATCTTATAAGTTTGAACAAATTTATAATTTAAAACTTTTGAGGTGCTTTGTCTTTTTACACATTCAATATCAATATAATAGGACTTTGTGAGACTGAATCTTAAGGAGCCTGGCCCAACAACTGTGAAGCAGTCTGATATATAGAAGAGTTATTTAAAAGCCAAAATTAAAAACTGTGCATCCTCCAAACGATTGATTAAGATGATTAGGAAAGTTAGAGTATCCACTATGGTGTAGGTAGATATTGTGCGAGTAACAATGCACCTGTATGATCTCGAAAGGTGAAAGTAAAAATCAAGTCAGCTATTCTTTCTTCAAAGTTGCCTTTATGCTTGGTGGTTGCAGTGTAAATACTGACTCACGAAAGTGTCAACTTAATGTAACAGATTGCAATGGCCACAATTTAACCTTGACATTTTTTAATATTCAAATTTCATACAGGACAATAGAGATAGGGCAACGTAACTTTAAACAAATATTATTCGGTTAGGATGAGCAAGCTTTAGAGCTTTCTAACATACGACCAAAAGACAGCACAACCTGAGCAATGAAAAAACAAGCAAAATTAATTTCACAATTCACAATGGATGTCTCACCGGTGAGTGTGGAAATGGGACTTGTGTTGGTTGATCCAGCCATGTTGATGTCGCTGTTGGCAAGGGATGATACGCTGGCGAAGGAGCCCTGACTGTGGTTGCTGCCGCTTGCGGGAGGAGGGGCGTAGGTGTTTGCAGGTGCCCCCTCACCCAAAAGGAGCCCCAGCCGAGTGTACAAGTGCTCTGAAGGGTGGCCCAAGCCGTTGGAAACCACCGTCGCCGGGGAACGCACATGTGGAAGTTCGTCATCTGCAGCAAAAGAGGAGTGAAATGTCGGTGCACAAAGGAGACAGGGTGATGTTAAGAGAATGCCCTTTTGCACAGCAAGCAAGCTCAGACCATGCCACCCTGGGGGCGATTCGGGTGAATCACAAAACAGGCTTCGTTAACCTTGACAAATGTTTCAATACAGGACTCCATCAGAGGTCGGTAGACGTGCACATGTCGGGCATCCTTTCTACAAAATCAATATATGTATATATAAAAATCTGACAGCCAATCAATATGCTATGGAACAAGCAATAAATGCCATGTGTTTTTAAACATCTCGAATATAAAGTAGCTAACCTCTTATGTACTAACTGATTCATAAAAAACATCTTAAATTCTTGGCATAAAGAAATCACAATGAAAACTGTAGTGATCTCATTTATTCTTTAACATAAAAAAAATAACTTTATTGTGCGAGACAAAAATGCATTTGTAGAAATTATTGTAGTTATTTCTGCTAATGCCTAATTTATAAAATTTGCTGTACAAAGCACGATTGCATTACAGATAGCATCTCTAGTTATGAATTTGGGTGTCCACTGATTCTAATATGAAAAAAGCATGAAGAAAAAGGTTAAAGTTAATAACAATGCAAAGGCCACAGAGAAAACATGCCAGACACATAGGCAGAATGCATGCTAGGTATGTGAACTGCTTTCTTTTTATCAATGCACATGCTACATTCATCTAGCCTTTATAAAGGCATAAAGGCATGCCACATGCCTTTATATGAGCATGACAGGTATTTACCTATGGTCCAAAGAGATTTTATTTTTCGGACCATATTCATTGGCCAATGCTGTACTTTGGCCAAGTCTGTCAAGAGTGAAAGAGTGAAAAGAATCAAGTTTATCAAGTTTAAGGAAAACCTTATACCACAGCCCAGAAAGAATATGACAGAAGGGGAACAATTTATGCCTTTATATTTCATTAAAAGTTGAAGCTATTTTGCGAGAAACAAGATAACACAAAACACCCCTGCTAGACCTCTTGGCTTAAATTTATTTAAAATAAAACTTGCAGTAAGAATTCACTGTATTTTTAATGTTGCCATGGCTACAAAACAATTTCTATGACGAGGTGTCAATCTAAGCACAACTTTGAAGTCGATGCACATACCTGACAAGGCAGTGTGGTTGTCCACGCTGACGGTAGACGGCCTTGCCATCTTCCGGTCCTTCCAGGAGATGTGGCTAATCTTTGGACTGGCCATACTTGGAGCCGGAGGGCCTGAATCACAGAAGAACAAAGCACAAACGACAGGAGTGAACCCTGTTTGTTACATGCGAGCTGCGTACGACTAACGAGAAAATTATAGTTTGGAAGCCTTCTCCTACCTCTCATTTGAGGATTTCTTGTCTGCATGAATGTTGTGAAGTGACCGTTGGTCTTCATGCGGGGCCTCGCTGCATTAGTGGGGGCTTTTGCAGCAGCTGCAAGCAAACAAAGAAAAGGAATGCACTCATGAGCATGATGCTCAAGGTTACAAAGTGGATGGATACCTTTGGGTATGTGGTGCACTGAAAGCATTGGTGCTTAGAAAGCCTATTTGTGAATGAAGGTAAAAATAGTGTTTCCATTTGAAGCACTCTCTTTGGGAACTTTTCTACAACCAATGTGTCAAAACTTTACAGTCAACGATTAATATTAACATACCAATCTGAAACATTTCTGAACCTTGCTGACCTTCATTCACACATTTCAACTCAGCAAGCCCGTCAAATACATCCATGGTAAATACCGAAATCGCATACTAACTTTGGTCATCAAAGAATTAAACACGCACTTCCTCACATGCTAAATTATATTTCATTGCTAGAAATTGCTAGAAATTGATATCATGTCACTAAAAAATATACCATTGCTACCATTGTATAAAAATGCACACTGTTTTTTTTTTTGTCTAGTTGATTATTTCTTTTTGCATTGTCTGCCATGTAGGGGTGTTGAGGGCTTGTCAAGCTGTACACAAACAGCTTTTTCCCTCGGCATCCCCCATCATCATGTGTGATGAAAAATAAAGATGATTTGATTTTATACTCTCTTTGAGTTTGTTCTTACAAATTATTGCAACACTTTCCAACGAAAACTTATTGATTGATGAATATATCTATCATATCAGTTTTCTGGAGTCATAGGCTTTAGTAGTGCTTTGTTGGAAAAGTCAAGTTTGCTCAATCCACAAAGCAAATGAGCCCAAAGTTTTCTACACTTTGGACAGTTTCCAAGCTCAGTAAAACAATACAAATAACCAAAATTTGGTTATCGTTACCCTATGACATCACAAGACCAAATTTGACCCCACTTTACTGCCAAAGTTTAGATATTCCTAAGAACTCTCTTAGAATTCCTAGAGGGTGTATTTTTAAATTAATAGAGATATTATACACCAGTATTTTGGGGCCTTTTGTTTTCCTACTGTTGACCATTGAAGCAGCTAGGTAAGAAAGTGATGTTTCTTGATTTTCTCACTTTGTGGGGGCCACATGTTTGACCCCTTCACTCATTATTGCACTCAAATATGATGTTATCTTCCGACTGTAGAATGAGTTTTTAGAACATCGAAAATGTTTAGGTCATTCATAACATATTAAAGCAGTATAAAAAAAAATAAAGATGTCACCTTGTCGAGGTAAGATACATGGACAGTGGAGTAAGACTTTTTTTTTTAAATATTAGCTTCAAAAATGTCGCAAAACGTTACAAGAGATTTCTTCCAAAATAGGCATAGTGGGTGTGTAATGCCTTTTCATGGCTTCTGCACCTCATTTTCAGGTTTAATAACACCATTCATTTATTTATTTTACCCTCAGGGCCAAAAGCATTACAGAAGGGAGTGGTGATTTTTTTTTGTTGCTTTTTTAGATGCAAACAGACGAAAAAAATACAAATGTCTACAGTAATAGGAACAAAATATACATTAGTTAATACAGTCATCTTCCCAAAGGCATGAAGAAAGGCTGGAGTGTGTACCATCATCATCCTGGCTTCCCCAAAGAAACTCATGCAGTACAATTTAGGAGAGTAACACGTCCTTTCACCTGTGCTCAGTGCTTGCAGTTGCCCGAATCAAGCGGTCAAGCGTCGGCATGATATCATACTTCAAAGGAAAATATTCAGTTCCACCTGAATTCTTAATTGGGTAACTTAACTTTGCTAGCGTGTTCATAATGCAAACACCATCATTAAAAAAAAAAAAAAAATGTAAAGCTTAGATTTATGTGTACTTTCACCGCATAGCACTCGAGTTGAGGGTGAAGCATACAGGGCCGTTGGCACTACGCTCGAAGACGCGAAGAGGGCGGGAGTTCATACAGAAAGTGAGTTTCACTCTCCAACCAGCAGTCGTTGTTTTGTCGCAGACCAAAGGCTAGTTTTGTGCACAGCTCGCTCGTATCAGGCCGCGTTCCAACAAAAGTACGCACCCTCGGCGGCGCAGATTGGGCATCCGGGGGCGTCGGCGCTGAGCATGCAGTAGTAGCAGCGCTCGTGGCCGCAGTCCTCGGTGATGCGCCGCCGCTTGCCCTTGTCGAAAGGCACGTGGCACGTGGGACACCGCACCGTCGTCGGGGACACCACCAGCTCGTCCATCATCTTGCGGATGGTGCGCGGGTCTAAAACGACAAGAGATAACCGTTCCTTCAGGCACAGTAGCGCACGCTCGCCAGATCGCTCTGAAAGACAAAGCGACAAAGCCCCGCATGCCATATCGAGTTGTGAGACGTTTACTATATCAGTTATCTGTAACATATGAGAACGATTATATTAGGTACTGTGTCCATGATGCTTGTGTTTCTATACCTTAAAACTTTTTTTCTTGAAGGGGGTCCTTAAACCGCGTGGCCAGAATGACACTAAGTTACAAAATCGATAAATCGCAAAATTAAACAATGCATAAAAAAAAAAAAAAAAAAAAAAAACGAAGGGGTTGCGGGGAAAGGGGAAAATATAGAATATTTGTTTTGAGAAAGAACTAAGATTTCACCATGATCAGCGCCACAGCACAAACTCCGTTTTTCGCTCCAGACTTTTTTAGAGTGAACGGTACTGAAATTCAGGTTTTTATATAAAAAAATAATAACACCTGCGGTTTTGCCCGTGGTGCCTTTTTCTTTCTAAATTTTTATTGAAAAAAAAACCCCATTGAGTGTTCTTTTTTTTCTTTTTTTAATCTACTAGGCGAATTTATCAAATGTCTCCCTTCTCAAGAACGTAGGCCTCGGCAACATAAAGAAGAGGTACTCGACGTAGCCAGCTTGAGGCGCACGCAATACACACGCTCGCTCCCAAGGTTCCCCAGCATTAGCGCTAAACCGCCTTGCGCATATGCGCGCATGTGCAACTCTTTTTTTTTTTTTTTCGGTGACGCACAATACGAGCATTACGTGCGAAGCAAACAAAGGCAGTGGCAATCCCAGAGTACCACTGTAACCAGCGTCTGTCCGCGTCGCCGACAAGGTGCCAGCGCCTTCCCACGACCAGACCCTTCTCATGACCCCCCGAAGAATACGCCGGGCGGCCGACGAGATACAAAGTCGAGACGTCAGACCGCGTTCACGAAGACGCTGAAACGAGCCTTGGAACGGAACCTCCAACTTGCTTGAATGGAACGGGAAAAAAATCACTACCCCAAACCCCCCCCCCCCCCCCCCCTTTCCCACAAAAAAAAAAAAAAAGAAATGTTAATTGGGTTAAGGATGCAAGCGCGGCATCTGAAACTGCGCGAAAGAGAGCTATGCGCAACTCAGAACGTATTCCACGGTCCAGAACGTAGTCAAGTAGCGCCAAAAAGGCGTCGTCGCGGCGCTCGGCGTGTTTTGCGTGAGATATCCCCGCCTAAACCTTCCACCCGCAGAAAAAGGCGTCGGATCACGGTGCATTTGTGCGTGCACAAGGACGACCAGCGTCGTGACGATGCACTTTTGGTGCTACCTGAGTGGCTCTGCCGGGTCGTAGAGTCGGCTGCGCCCTTGATTTGGTGTGGATGGAACGGAGTACGGTTTGGAATGGACGGTGGACGAGTCTAATTAGACTGGCAAGTTCCGGAGTTGGACGTATATCACATCGATTGGATATATGCGCGGGAGACATACCTTCGACTGAGTCGCCGAAAAGCATGATGAGCCAAAACTAGCTTAATATAGTATTGTCAGAAGTGTTGGCTACACCAGCGTATAGTGACAGAATGGCTCGTAGAGGTTTCCAGTAGCCGTTCTACCAGGGCTTCCCACGCAGTTATTTCAATAAACCAAAGTATATATATATATATATATATTGGCCTATTCTGTTTTCAGCAAGTGGTAAAACAAGGCAACGCACTCAACCTCACAAGTTCTGTGCAACTGTTTTCGAAAGTATAGGCGAGAGGGCGTTGGCTCTGAAAAAAGCCTATAGATGGCGAGGATATCCCCACTAAAAACATTTTCGGTCTTCTACCCACTCCTCTCAGAACGCAGCAGGCCAGCAGTGAATGTTTGATGTGGTGAAAGCCGCTTAAATCGCTTAAATGTTTGAAGCGTTGAAGATCGCTTTAACACTACAGGAAAGAAGCTCCTACATAAGTAAACGTTTTCCCTTCCTTGCGGAATCATTTGTCACCGTTCCGTGCGTTTTAAGAAGGGTCGATATTTGACTCGACAAAAAGATAGTGTTGATCTATGTGCTGCATAAAAGAAAATATATACCCAAAAATATCCAAGTCAAGTCAAGGAAAATACCTACCTTCCAAAAAAAAAAAAAAAAAAAGCCGAACGTTTTGATTAACGTTTATATCTGAATAAACCACACAACTAGAGTACACGTAGTACGAGGTTGTTTCAATAAAATGTTATAAATGATCATCGTTTCGTTTCATGGACCACGGGCACCCATGTAAAAGGCAGATATGCAGGATGTTAATTTTAATTAAAACACATTAGAAAAAAGAAGAAAAAAAAGGGGGGGGGGTGCGATTCAGAAGAGTGCCGTCCTCACCATCTATTCATCAGGCTCGGAGGACATTAGATCAGGGTATCATTGTCATGGGAAGTTGACTAATTAACAAAAACCCGTTAACTTTTTAATTATTGGTTTTAAGGAGTCATGTTGCAATTGCAGTATTGATTACAATTACTATTCAAGGTCAGACCAATTAAAATAATTTGCAAAAATGTAACAGTCTTTTAGATATTAATTGACAAACCTTCACGGTTTCGAGCCGGATTTAGAAATCGCGCTCAAAGAGAGCGCGGCGACTTCAAGCCCTGCCCACACTGTTACTTGGAAGAGTGACGCAGTGACTTAAATCATGTCGCCACTATCTCGGTAGCGTGTCCTTGGCGAGTGCGCCAACGACACAAGTGACGACATGAATGAAACGAATATGTTAATCTTCTAAACGCCGTCGTGGGCAGGGCTTCCAGCGCTCTTTTTGGGCGCAACTTTTAAATCTGGCACAAAAGCGTACAAATAAATCAATGAATATATAAAAAAAAAAGACTATTACATTTTTGCAAATCATTTTAACTAATCTGGCCTCTAATTGTGCTTGTCGATACTGCGATGTCAACTTGACCCCTAAAGCCAATCATTAAAAAGTTAATTAACGAATTTTAGTTATTTAGCCATAACGATGATCCCCTCATCTAATGTCCGCAGAGCCTGATGAATACATGGTAAAGACGGCACTTGTCTAAATCTTAGCCCCCCCCCCCCCTTATTATTATTATTTTTTATCTGTTCGAGTTAAAATATAACTCGAACCACCTCTTATAACCATAACTCTTGTTTCTACACCGTTGGTACCGGGGAATGTAATATTTTAAACTTCATTCGCTAAGTAATAATGATTTGTATAGAGGTCACACAGTAGATTACTCAGTTTTGTACTACACATAAAACTAGTATCATCAAGAGTTTCGTGAAAACAAAGCGTGTACGGCGCGTCTTCATGAAGTATGCATACCAACATCCAACGGGGGTCATGACCTCTGCGCGCGTGGCAGTTATCTCCCCTAACCCCGGCAGTCGGAGGAAGACAGCCAGAACAGAACGTGACCGCCATTAATTAACAAACACTGCGAGCGAGGCGATAGAATCGCTCTTCCAACCGCGAAAGAGCGAGGCAGAATTCCTTAAGCCGAAATAAGTCAAGGACGCGCAAGCTCGCGCTAGGCCTAAGGAAGGCCTATAACCCTAGAGCAGGGATGGGCAAAATACAGCAAATATGTATCGAAATACAAATACAAAATACTTCGTCAAAAATGTATTTAATTACAAATCTAATTACATTTCCGAAAAAGCATTTAAGTACAAGATACAAATACAACCAAATGTATTTGGTCTCCCTCCCAAATACTTTTCCAAATACATTCCTCAAAATTTGCGTCAGCGACTTCAGGGCACCTGCAACGGGTTTCTGGGTATCTCATTTTAATGTTGCATCGCACACTCGGGAGTTAGTATGCGAGGCTCTAGTAACGTAATAGAAATATAATCACAAAAAAAAAATGTAATCAGCTTGGACGTAATAGGTGAAAAAAGTACACAGCTTCAAACAGCTTTTTTTGTCGATTACATTTTAGTATAGACCAACAAAGAACCGAGACGACCAAGACGCGCAGCACTAGCTAGATAAATTTTTATTGTTGCAACTCGCACCAGTTACAAAAACCTGGACGACCCGCGCATTTAGAATGTTCCAGGCAAAAATATGGATGGAAATCAGGCTGGAAAGCATCACAAGTTGTCACAGGCACTTATTTAGCCAGTCTGACTGTGAACGTCGATTTCGTCACTATTCTTGCCCTGGACTAGCACCGTAATCATAAAGTCACTAAACAATAGTGCTTGATTGAGAGACACTGCATTCGGTGCAGAACGTAGTTTTCTTCCTGCTCCTGACAGTGCCTTTAAAATAAGGCCGGAGGAGAAAAAGAAAAAAAAGCCCCATGGTTGAATAAAGGATGGAGAGTATATCTCACAAACCACATGCATAAAAACAAGAATTGTAACTTTGGCAATAACATTTATTTAACGTAATAGAGGCAAGTGCCGCGGGCGCCCGGCGTGCCCGCAGTGAGCGAGACGCGAACTGCCGCAAGACTGGTGTATGCATGACGATATGAAAAGTTTCTTGGTTTGGTTGTTGCCGTTGGCGTTGAGATGAAGAAAGAGCAGCTTTGGACACGTCTTAGGATGAGCAAAATGAGTCGTGACAATAAATTTGAGGGATGTATTTGCACCCACAAACTTGTATTTAATTACAATTGTATTTGAAACACATACGTTTTAGTATTTAAATGCACACGTCAAATACATTACCCAATTTGTAATTAAATACAAATGCAAAATACACAAAGTATTTGAAATACGTATTTCAAATACTTGTATTTGAAATACTGCCCATCCCTGCCCTAGAGTAACTGTATAGGGACCATATTCAGTTACTCTATTTAAACCCTGCCTGATATCCTCCCGGGATGCCTTTCTCTACTCGCTGCTGAGTGGAACACTCGCCAACCAAGCGCTAACCGCATAGACTTCCTCAAAAGATCGCGGCTGCTTTTCGCTTTTTGCTTTCGGTCTGCTGAAATGGCACTACGTAACGATGGAGAGCAGAGGGCGCAATG